GAATTTGGAAAACTTGGAAGTTGGAAAATTTGGAAGTTGGGAAATTTAGAAGTTGGAAAATTTGGAAGTTGGAAAATTTGGAAGTTGGAGAATTTGGAATTTGGAAAATTTGGAATTTGGAAAACTTAGAATTTGGAAAACTTGGAATTTGGAAAACTTGGAAGTTGGAAAATTTAGAAGTTGGAAAATTTGGAATTTGGAAAATTTGGAATTTGGAAAATTTGGAATTTGGAAAACTTGGAATTTGGAAAATTTACAATTTGAAAAATTTGGAAATTGAATTTTTGAGAATACCAAAAATTGGAAAAAACATATTCAAATCATTATCAAATTAATCGATAAATCGCAACTTCGAATAATTCCCGAGCACTAAACTGCTTCTAACAAGTCCGTAACCGCATTGTCGAGGACGCAACAAAGCTACAAGTCTGAGAAGTTCCAGACAGCAAACTTGTCTACATAGAAGTAAGATGTCGTCATCGACAATTGTCCGATTTGTTCTCGCCTCTGAGAGTACGATCCGTGGAGAAAAATGATGTATCTAAACGGCTATCGCAACCCCCTTCTCGACTTCCGGTAAACGGTACGCAAGTATGATGCCCCCTTTGTCTCGCCACTAGAATCTCTGAGAATTTTCCCAAGAACATAACGAACCTACAACGCGCTGTTACCGAAGATTTCACCGAACACCAGTTTCTGCGCAATGCTCGAGCTCGAATGTGGAACATAACCTAGCATTTCTTTGCTTCCTTTTGCTGCCTCTTTAAGTCGGTTGGTGGGTTCGTTTCCGTAGAGGGGATACGTATGGAAATTTTATAGGTTAGGTGGGGATTTTTAGATTTGGAGATTTGGGGATTTGGGGAGTTGGGGAGTTGGGGATTTGGGGATTTGGGGATTTAGGGATTTGGGGATTTGGGGATTTGGAGAGTTGGGGATTTGGAGATTTAGGGATTTAGGGATTTGGGGATTTGGAGAGTTGGGGATTTGGAGAGTTGAGGATTTGGAGATTTAGGGATTTAGAGAGTTGGGGATTTGGAAGGTTGGAGATTTGGAGAGCTGGGGATTTGGAGAGTTGGGGATTTGGAGAGTTGGGGACTTGGAAAGTTGGGGACTTGGAGAGTTGGGGATTTGGAGAGTTGGGGATTTAGAGAGTTGGGGATTTGGAGAGCTGGGGATTTGGAGAACTGGGGATTTGGAGAGCTGGGTATTTGGAGAGTTGGGGACTTGGAGAGTTGAGGACTTGGAGAGTTGGGGATTTAGAGAGTTGGGGATTTGGAGAGCTGGGGATTTGGAGAACTGGGGATTTGGAGAGCTGGGTATTTGGAGAGTTGGGGACTTGGAGAGTTGAGGACTTGGAGAGTTGGGGATTTAGAGAGTTGGGGATTTGGAGAGCTGGGGATTTGGAGAACTGGGGATTTGGAGAGCTGGGTATTTGGAGAGTTGGGGACTTGGAGAGTTGAGGACTTGGAGAGTTGGGGATTTAGAGAGTTGGGGATTTGGAGAGCTGGGGATTTGGAGAACTGGGGATTTGGAGAGCTGGGTATTTGGAGAGTTGGGGATTTGGAGATTTAGGGATTTGGAGAGTTGGGGATTTAGAGAGTTGGAGATTTGTAGAGTTGGGAATTTTTAGATTTAGGGATTTGGAGAGTTGGGGAGTTGGGGAGTTGGAGATTTGGGGATTTGGAGATTTGGAAATTTGGTGAATTGCAGACTTATGGAATTGGGACTCGTCAAGATGGAGATGTGGTGATTTAGGGATTTGTGAGTTTGAAATTTTCCTATTTTGGGATTTAGAGATTTGTGAATCTAAAAATGTGGGAACTTGGGAATATGCATATTTGGGGACCTATGGATTCAGGAATTTGTGAAGTTGAGAATTTAGGGACTTATGAATTGGGAAACTAGTCAAGTTGTTAATGTAGGGACTTATGAATTTGAAAACTAGTGAAGTTAGGAATTGAGGGACCTATGAATTAGGAAACTAGTCAAGTTGTTAATGTAGGGACTTATGGTTTGGAAATCATGTGAAGTTGGGAATTTGGGTGACTTATGAATTTTGGTACATGTAAAGTTAAGACTTTGGGATTTAATGATTTAGTTTGAGACTCGAGAATCTTACAAAATTATAAAATTATATAAACATCTAAATAATGTAAAAGTAAGCTTGAAACGTAGAAGTAAAATGGCGATAAAAGAAGAACGGATGTTAATCAAAGATTGTTTTAAAGACAAAAGTAACGGAAGCGTCGAATTAATAAAGATAGCTATCGGATTTCCATTACCCTCCATACGGAGGGTCAGCATTCGTTGTTCAATGAGTCATCTGACATATTCTCATGTCAATTGAGTTTGCAAAGAAAAATACGTTTTATCGCACGCATCGCGGTTGTTGTTCATAGAAGAATTCAGTAGTCGGCGAAGCGGTCGCTTATTCTCGGAGAAAAAGAGCCGAGATTGAAGTTGATATCCGAGAAGAAATAGAACATTCAGAAAAGAACGGGAGCAAAGGGGTAGAGAAGGAATAAAATGCTTTCATTCCTTTTCAAAGGAGAATGTCAAAACGCTCTTTAGATCCTTTCTTTTATATACTTGTACACAATCGACGCTGAATATCTACGAATATGGCTATTACAAAAACTTGGGGCTATCGTTCAAATATTTTCGGCATAAATATTATAATATTTTGGAATAACAATTTCTAAATTTTCTGATTATAATATATTTTTTATGTCAAAGTTTGTGTACTAAATTTTTTCTTACAGTTATTTTCTTAATATATCAATCTTATAATCGTGTGATCCAAGATTACTGCAACACGGTTTCAAAAGACGCCACGGATTATCCTGCAAATTGTAATAAGCTGCTAATTAGACACTTCAGAAACACGTAGCAGCGATGTAAATCTTAATGGAGCACTGTAAGCACGCATGATTCATAGCATTAGCAAATAATATCGAAAACGCCTTTCAAAAACCATCTCGTAACATAACCATGCATAATTGTATAATTATAAAGCGGCTAATTAAAAAAATCTACCAATTTATTTTCTTTTTATCTTCTGGCGCTTGTATTTAATGCCACTTTGTTGTAGTTATGGGTAGAGATAATAGTTTGCTGGGAAATTGCGTTGGTTTGAGGAATTAAGTTTATTCAGTTTGCTTCTTTTAATTTTTATTGTAGTTGAACATGAAATTTTGTGGTGTAACAAATATTGTTGCTTTGTATTAGAAGATTATGTATTTAATTTTGTAGTAGAACAAATGCTTTAATAGTTCAGTTTAGTATACCGCCTTCTATAAGTGAGCGGTAGTATCTCTTTCATAAGTGATCACACGTTACTAATAGTGACGAACAAATATTGCATACTAAAACATAATACCTATCTAATTTTGTACTACAACAAATGTTTTAGAATAAATGCTTTAATAGCTCAGTTTAGTATACCGCCTACGGTAAGTGAGCGGTAGTATGTCTTTCATAAGTGATCATACGTTACTAATAGTGACGAACAAATATTGTATACTAAAACATAATACCTATCTAATTTTGTACTACAGCAAATGTTTTAGAATAAATGCTTTAATAGTTCAGTTTAGTATACCGCCTACGGTAAGTGAGCGGTAGTATGTCTTTCATAAGTGATCATACGTTACTAATAGTGACGAACAAATATTGTATACTAAAACATAATACCTATCTAATTTTGTACTACAGCAAATGTTTTAGAATAATTGCTTCAATAGCTCAGTTTAGTATACCGCCTACGGTAAGTGAGCGGTAGTATGTCTTTCATAAGTGATCATACGTTACTAATAGTGACGAACAAATATTGTATACTAAAACATAATACCTATCTAATTTTGTACTACAGCAAATGTTTTAGAATAAATGCTTTAATAGTTCAGTTTAGTATACCGCCTACGGTAAGTGAGCGGTAGTATGTCTTTCATAAGTGATCATACGTTACTAATAGTGAGGAACAAATATTATATACTAAAACATAATACCCAGTTAATTTTGTACTACAACAAATGTTTTAGAATAATTGCTTCAATAGCTCAGTTTAGTATACCACCTTCTATAAATGAGCGGTAGTATGTCTTTCATAAGTGATCATACGTTACCAATAGTGACGAACAAATATTGCATACCAAAATATAATACCTATCTAATTTTGTACTAGAACAAATATTTCAGAACAAATGTTTTAATACTTTAATTTAGTATACCACTTTCCGTAAGTGAGCAGTATGTCATAACTGCTCAGCTCACCCTACTAACACTAATAAAAAATAAACCCAATATAAAAATTAATATATTCAGTCAACAAAACACATAAAACTCGTTAAACTCCAATATAAATAAACAATAACAATTTATAGCAATAAACTGACCGTCCCACATCTCTCTACCTGAATCATCATGTTGTTCTAACCATAATTCATCGCAGTTATGAATTCGAAGAAACGATCAAATATTTTCCATGCAATAAGATTCGAAATTGCCAAGAACGGTTTCGCATGCGTAACGGTGAACTCGTTTCACGGACAACGAACTTACCAACGCACGTTATACTTGTCCAACCATTCTTTTCCTTTTTTTTTTTTCGTTTGTCTGCGGGAAATTATAAAGCACAAAATAGTGTATACGAATTATTCATGAACGTTGCCGACGCGTTGATTTTCCGCCACAGTAGCTCGTTTTATCACGGTTGCCTTCTTTCTGGACGCAGATGTGATCTCAAGGCGAGTTTCGTTCAGTGACACGTCTTTTTTAGATCCATTATTATGTGCCAGTAAACAGCGTGCGAACTGCTTTGCGAGAAACGCTTCTGAGCTTTCAGATCCTGTTCTCGATGTTGTTTAAAAAAATTGTACGGTTATGAGACCGACTGGAAGCGAGGAGATGATAGAAAAATAATTTTGATTCGGGTCATTGGGAAGATTATTGTGGGGGAAAGGTGGGAGAGAAAAAGAAGAGGTTTAGGTTTAATAGCGCAGGTGCCGGCATTTTTCTTGATGCTTGATTATGGAGATCGGAAAGCGCGCGAAATTCAAATGCACAAACTTGTGTGTTTGTAAATTATGGAATAGGTGTAGAAATTATTTAGAGTGCTTAGTTCTTAATTTGGAAAGTTTTTACAACTCAAATTTAGGAATTCTTAAGTATCTAAATTAGTAAACTAATTAAGCACATTTGTAGAATTTGGAACTTTTATATCTTTGGGTTCTGAAATTTTCAAGTGATATGATTTCTGAATTCTTAAATCCTCAATTTTCTAAATTCCCAACTTCTTACATCCTCGACTTCCTAAATCTCCAACTTCCTAAATTCCCAATTTCCTAAATTCCCAACTTTTTAAATTCCCATCTTTCTCAATCCCCAACTTCTTGAAACCTAAACTTTCTAAATCCCCAACTTCCTAAATTCCCAACTTCCTAAATTCCCAATTTCCTAAATCCCCATCTTTCTAAATCCCCAACTTCCTAAATTCCCACCTTCCTAAATCCCCAACTTCCAAATTCCCATCTTCCAAATCCCCAACTTCCTAAATTCCCATCTTCCAAATCCCCAACTCTCCAAATCCCTAAATCTCAAAATCCCCAAATCTACAAATCTCCAACTCTCTAAATCCCCAACTCTGCAAATCCCTAAATCTCAAAATCTCCAACTCTCTAAATCCCCAACTCTCCAAATCCCCAGCTCTCCAAATCCCCAACTCTCTAAATCCCCAACTCTCCAAATCTCCAACCCTCTAAATTCCCAACTTTACAAATCCCCAACTCTCCAAATCCCCAACCCTCCAAATCCCCAACTTCCTAAACCCCAACTTCCTAAACCCCATCTTCCTAAATCCCCAACTTCCTAAATCACCAACTCCCTAAATCCCAATAAATTCCAAAAATAAGACTAAAGTACTGAATGAAATTATTTGCATTAATTTACAGATAGAACGAGAGGTGGTATTGTCGTCCGGCGACAAGAACTCAAAAATCCCTATACTCCACGAGTACAAGCAGCGGACTGCCGGAAGGATCGCCATCGCACCGGATGCGCCGGTCAAGCAACAAGCTTGGGTTCAAGAGGTAAGCTAATTTCCTTCTTAATTACCGTTATATTCCTAATTTGGTATAATCAGTAAAAACGACAAGCTTTTTCCTCCGTATTATTCCGCAACCTGTTTCATATTTATAACTTCTCTTGACGCATTTATGACACACACTCCTGACGCACTCCTAAAGCATTTGTGACGCACTAGTGACGCACCATACGTTATCATACAAGTACATACAAGTTACAGTAAATGTCATACGCTAAAATAAAAAAATAATTGAAATACGCAATTTGCAAGTAGTAAATCGCAGTTGACACGTGACTAATGTGTCATTTTAACCTGTCGATCAGCAGTTCTAGACTTCGTTACGTAAAAAAGATGTCCGTAGCCGCGATCTTCGTGTGAGAGGGCATTTATGCGGTTAATGGGAATCCATCTACCGCCAGATCTCACAATCAGTCATTACGAAATCTTTCATTGACGCGATTAGTTCACGTGAGCGCAGCACATACGCTGATTCAACGCCCACGTGAATTGCTCAAGGTGCGAGTAGGTGTCGCTAATGCACGTGCCACAGGACAATGTTCCACAATTGTAGGTTACATAGGGCACTAACGCCAAAGGGCGGGCGAGGAACGTGGAAAATTATCTTTCAGATCAGTTGTTCGGATCACTTTTCTTTGTCCGAGCCACGCCAACAGTTTATTGAGTCGTAACGTTTCCTTCTTTTCAAACCGTCGACCATAAATCAGCTTTATTCTTCCTTTCATTTATTTTGTTGCTTAACTTTGTGACTAGTTTCTTTAATTCGTTTGCTATGTAGCCTCGTATAGTATCGTTTCGTGGGTTTTGGTACAACAAAATGGTCGCCATGTTGATCGATAATGTTAATTGCAATATATAATGCAATTAATGTCAGAGATTAATGAAAGATACAGTTATTGTCAGAATGTAACAATTTAAAATTTTATTTATTATTTAATAAATGTTCGCTTTAGAGAAATTAACGGAGATGTTAGAATGTGAGGTTAGGTTATAATTACAACAGAGGTGACAGTAAGTCGCGCAAGTTAATTTGTTTATATTAATAATTGTAATAATTGTCCACTCGGGAAATAGTTTCAGTAGCGTGTGTAGAGTGAATTTTTGAACGTAACTGTACGTCAGATTGGACGCAGCATAATCCTTACGCGATAATCCTTACTCGCGGAGGAACCATCAATCAGAAACTCCATTTTGGTATGCGCGGAGCGTGTCGCGTAGCCCTACGGGCACAGCTCCGCTCTTTTCCTCTATCACTCCCTCTTTGTCTTTTCGCTTAACAATGTCAGTTGTTATTCAAACCGCATCCCTTCCTAAGAACCGGAGGATTCACTCTGACAACTTTGAAATTCTCTCTGCGGTTTTGAACGGACACGCTGCTATTAGCCATTCCCCCGTTCTCTTCGACAGAGAATTGTTTTCGGTGGTTCCACGCGAATTCTGTCGGGAAATTTCCCCGCGTGTCTGCGCCGCGACAAGTTTGTTGCGTTTCGAAGGAATGCCCGGGGGGGGGACAACAACCGACTCATTTTCAACTCGCGTTTAAACTTTCGAACTGCTGTATTCGAGAATTTAAACGGATATGGATTTTGGATGAGGGATTAAGACGTTCAAGTTTATATATTTGTCTAAGTTTGATGTTTGGAAGAGTTAAAGCATTGGAGATGAAACTTGACAATTTGATATAAAATTTGATACTTGACAACTTGTCAACTTTACAACTTTACAACTTTACAACTTTACAACTTTACAACTTTACAACTTTACAACTTTACAGCTTCACAACTTCATGGCTTTACTACTTTACTACTTGACAACTTGACAACTTGACAACGTAACAACTCGACAACTTTATAACTTAAGAGCTTGACAACTTAACAACTTGGCAACTTTACATCTTCACAACTTTACAGCTTTGTAACTTTACTACTTTACTACTTCACTACTTCACTACTTTACTACTTTACTACTTGACAACTTGACAACTTTATAACTTAACAACTTTACAACTTTATAACCTGACAACTTAACGACGTAACAACTTGACAACTTTACACCTTCATAACTTTACAGCTTTGTGACTTTACTACTTTATAACCTGACAACTCGACGACGTAACAACTTGACAACTTTACACCTTCATAACTTTACAGCTTTGTGACTTTACTACTTTATAACCTGACAACTTGACGATGTAACAGATTGACAACTTTACACCTTCATAACTTTACAGATTTGTGACTTTACAACTTTATAACTTGACAACTTGACGACGTAACAACTTGACAACTTTACACCTTCATAACTTTACAGCTTTGTGACTTTACTACTTTACTACTTGACAACTTGATAACTTAACAACTTTACAACTTAAGAACTTGACAACTTAAGACCTTGACAACTTAACAACTTAACAGCTTGACAAGTAACAACTTCACAACTTTACAACTTTATAACCTGACAACTTAACAACTTTACAACTTGACAATCAGAAAAGAGGAAAACTTGAATTAAGAATCCCAAAATGTAGCTGTCTACTAAAATTCAATTTGAAAGAGATGCACGTATAATTTTGCAGGGAAATCAGATGCAAGAAGTGAGACAAGAGGGTCAAACGAGGAATTATCAAACGTCGGAATCATACGCGTAAATATACCCTTCTTACTCGGTGAATCCGTGTCTAAGTATATCGAATAAAATCGCAATTTCTACGAAGGTCAACGTCGGCTGCATCGGCACCAAGGACGCCAAAAATCGATGAAGAGAAGAGTAAATCCCTGTCGAGGACGTACCATACAATTAAGGACATGATATCCAGTCGTTTCGGGCAGAATCGTAAGGATACCGAAGCGGAACCGGAAGCAAGCTTGAATAACGTCACGGAGGAGTTAAGAAAGTCCAGTAGGAGCATCGACGAGGAGGAAGCGAAGAAGAAGGAGGGAATTTATGGGAAACCACGAGCTCAAGAACCTTCTATTAATATGCAACAGTACCCTAAAAATGCTTGTGGTAAGTGTTTCTTTAAAATGCAACCTAACCTTACCTAACAAAACTATGAACCTAAACTAACCTAACCAATACTGTGAATACAATATCTTTTAATAAAATACATTCCTTGATGAAGCTTTAGTTGATCGTTTTCTATTAAACGTTCAAAATATACAACTGACCTAACTAACCTAACCTGATCTAATCAAAATTTGTGCACAAACTCTGCTTTTGATTAGGTACTTTCGTGAATTTTTTTCTATAAAATCTTTAGAAATATCTTGAGAAACCATAATTACAATTAAAACGATTCAAATTTGCCGCCAAATAAAGTAGCTTAAACCGAAGCACAAAATGGCGGTGTTAAAAGTTTAAATGGATTACGTAGTGTGTATAATTGTATATTTCCCTCTTTCTTGTTTAATTTTCTTGTAGAATTGCGGGTAATTACGAGAAATAGCTTATCTAATCAAATTTAGTGAAGTATTTGCTAGAAGCTGAGAGGGCAAGAAACGCATATTCAAAATGACTGCTTCATATGCTGAACAGTGTGATTAACATTTCCTTAGCTCGTGCGTCATAGTTTATTGCCATTCATGAAAACTGTTATTTTTGCCTGCTTCGTAGACCATATCGAACGATGAACTTCTAACAATGCAGTAGTTTTTAACTAGCTCTAGAAAATGGCCGGTGAAAAACCTTCCATAATTATGAGTCACGTTCTTATTTCAGCCACCGTTACACGTAGCTTTCTACGAACAAATTGCAGTAATAATAAATTAAGCAAATTGGGGAAATTGCTATCGATCATTAGTAATTTACAATTGAAATAACTCGCAGTAATTGTAACTCGATGAATTGTTTTTTTATACTTCGTACCAACTGTTTAGGGATACTTTCTCATAATTTCTAAGTTTGAAGAACGTGAACTGCGAAGAAATTTTCACGCCATGATAATACGTGGCTACATGATTTTTGGACACGAATCGCGTCCTACGCAATGAAAATACAGGGACAGCGAGTGAATCAACGGGTCAACAATGTAGCGCGATAATGGTTGTTCATCGAAAGAAATAAAGCAAGCGGTAGAGTTTTCTCGCGGTTGAAGATACAATCTCAATTGACCTATGGCCCCTACTCTCGGACCTCTTCTCGGCCATCGTTCGCCTTCTGTTCATAAACTCGTCTCGTCTTTCCTTCATTTCGCAACGATCGTTCATCGAGGATGAACCGAAACACCGAGTTCCTCCTCGTCTTCCTGTTTCTGGCCTTGTCCGTGGCCTGCGCGGAACGCATCCCATGGAGGACCTGCCCTTACCCTGACTGTGAGTACTTTTCTTATTTCTTGCATCGAACTTCATTTACAAATTACATTTAATACAAATTTTCACATTTCCAATACTTCACATTTCACATTCAATATTATAGGCTAGTTCTAATAGTTCTAATTGATCGAGCAATCTTGATCTTCTTGATTATCAGGCATCAGAGTTGGTCCCTTTACCTCCACCCTCCTTTTCACAATTTCTAAATTTCAAAGAATTGAAGTCTGGGAAAATTGCTGTTCATCATTAGTAATTTACAATTGAAATAACTGGCAGTAATTGTAACTCGATGAATTACTTTTTTATACTTCATACCAACTGTTTAGGGATACCTTCTCACAATTTCTAAGTTTGAAGAACGTGAACTGCGAAGAAATTTTCACGTTTCACATTAGGCACCCCTGGGCAGTGTAACGAGAGTCAACAATCTTACTAATACAGATGTTTTAACGAAGTTCGACGCGATAGTTATTTTTGGATGAAGTTAGGAAAGATGCGATTAATCTAACCCATGCACACATACGAAGAGCATTTCGATAACACGAACCCTGCCTAGGCCCCACGGACTCTGAAGATGGTGTCCACAACGAACAAGAACAGCCACCTCTGCTTAAATATTCTTTCGACTCATCGAGTACTTCATTTTTGCCGAATTATCGAAAGGGACACTCTGTCAAAGTACTCTGATCAGCGGTGTAGATACGCGGTGCATATTAACCCTCGCCTTGCGATATCGTCTCCCGCACGTGACGCACGTAACTGTTGAAACGCGACGAATCTGGCTCGCATTTTCACCACGATTCAATTTCGCGTTTAATTTCAATTCCTACCCCTCCAATGACCGCCACGTACAAAATTTCCCTAACATTCGAACATTCTTTGTCTTAACGTTGCGACAATAATTGAGCCCTGTCTGACGCGCTCGGGAAACCACAAGTTAAACCTAACGTTTGTGTAATATTTTGACGGTCCAGGTCAATATGGACACTCGTACAGTTACCTGAGCAATCAACAGAACGTCCCGCTTCCCGGGCAACTTCAACCGACATCGCAAATTCAACCCAATTTGCCGGGTCAGAGTGCCCAGCTTCACGTGACGCATCATGCACCGCCCGGAGGAGTTCAGACGGTCCATCAAACCCAAGTTCCCGCTTTCGGCCAATCAGCGACAGGTGGCCAACAGGTGCAAAATGTTGCCAGGGAATACGTTGTTCAGGGACCATCTGGATTGCCAAGTCAGCAATTGCATCAGGGACTACATCAGAATTCTCAGAACCAGGTAACCTTCCATTTCACTCGAAGACCCTTGAACCATTTCTGGCTGAGTAATAGGATTTTAATACCGGGGCACCGTTTGCCCTTGGGCAACCTCTCATTTCTATTTCTCCTGTTTTTGGAAACCGGTTTTTATCTACTGTCTACACTGTGGTATACTCGCGATTTATTCCTAGAATTATTTTTGATCCCTGGCTGTGAGATGTACTTTGCTAGGTTTTGAGATGTCTAGTCTTTTAGTTGTATTTTGAGATGTCTAGTTTTTTAGCTGTATTTTGAGATGTCTAGCCTTTTAGTTGTGTTTTGAGATGTTTATATTTTTTGATTTCCTATGTTGAAAAAATGCTAAGTCTATAAATTGTTGTAGTGAGAAGTCGCTACATCTTCAAATGTTTATGTGCTCAACTGTCTAGGTCCTTGAGTCCACATGTGACCAACTGTCTATGTGCACAGATCCTTATGTCACCAATTACCTACGTCTCCAAATTGTTATACTTGCAAGTCCTTAGGTCCACAAGTGCATGTGTGACCAACTGTTTATGTCCACAAATTCTTATGTCACCAATTATCTACGTCCCCAAATTGTTATACTTGCAAGTCCTTAGGTCCACAAGTGCATGTGTGACCAACTGTCTATGTCCACAAATCCTTATGTCACCAATTACCTACGTGTCCAAATTCCTATGTCCCCAAATCCTCACGTCCCCAAGTACCTATGTGCCCAACTGTCTACGTCCCCAATTCCTTATGTCATCAATTACCTACGTCTCCAAATTCCTATATCCCCAAATGCTTATATCCCCAAGTACCTATGCGCCCAACTGTCTACGTCCCCAAATCCTTATGTCACCAATTCCCTACGTCCCCAAATTCCTATACCCCCAAATCCTTACATCTCCAAATACCTATGTGCCCAACTGTCTACGTCCCCAAATCCTTATGTCACCAATTCCCTACGTTCCCAAATTCCTATACCCCCAAATCCTTACATCCCCAAATCCCTGGATCCCCATATCTCTACATAGCCAAACCCATACTTTCCCAAATAGTACCCAAATGGATACCTCCCTAAGTCGCTACCCAACCCACCCTAAGTCCCCAAATCCATAAACCTCCACATTGTCCTCCTAAACAATCTGCAACCTCCACTCCCGCAATCCGACGCAATACATTAAACCTAATACTCTCCATAAGTAGAACACGTTACATTAGAGAGATACATATTTCCGTGTCTTCCGTAATCGCGCAAATGTTGGCTACGAAATCGATGTTCCGAATGTGGCACGCCTTTCCTTGTTAGTTTAGCAATTCCGCCGGTGATATCGATCACGCGGAAACACCGTTTAAATAAGGAATGATTGGAACGTTTCCGATACGGTTGAAATGAAATCGCCGTCGGCCATTTCCGCCCCCTCGACGCAGGAAGAGGTTGTTTTTCACGCGAGGGAGGTTGACCTTCTCTCTCCTTTTCCTTCTTTTTTCAAATTTAGAAAGGGAGAACAGTGTAACACGTACATCCTATTCAGATACACGGTACGTGATACGTGTTCTATATTCACGCCATTTAAAGCCGACCACACGCAACACGACATACAGCGCACGTACGATCCTCGACGGCTACCTGATGTACCACGTTGTTTTACCAAGGAATTTCTAGCCAGACTACACATTTTCGTGATTCTTGGGTTGTGAGTCATCGTTTGGTTTAACGTGTGAATTAGTCCTGCTTTCGATTTTTATTATACGCCTTCTTCTGAGCAGTAAGAACCATTTACTGGGCGGTAATATATTGAAAGTCTACTGTGTTAGCGTAGAAGACGATAATATGACGTCTAACTTCATTGTCTTTGATTATACGCAAGTTTTTCTCGAATTTAATGCATTTTTTCGGGACGACGCACCAGGTGCGTCATGGGTATTTATCATTGAGTGATGAATTTCGTTATATTTTTATCATCATTATTAAATCAGGGCCAGAACTCCCAAATGCAGAAGGCCCACGGTCTGCCCATGCAGCAGCACCAGGTAGGGAACACGATGCAACCGAACCAGAACTTCCAAAGTCCGCAACAGCTGCTGCACCAGAATCAGAGCCACCATCAGAGTCCCCGATTCGCGCAACAGCACGCGCAGAACATGCATCAACGTCAGCTGATCCAACAGATGCACCAGCAACAACTTCAAAACCCGCCGTCGGGTGTGAGAAATGTGCAGCAGAGCTACTTCTCGAACAACGTGTCCTATCAGCAGTATCAGCAGGCCAGACAGGCGATGTCAAGGTCGCAGATCGATCTGCCGAGCACCTCCAGACAGACCCAAGAGCTGAGACTGTCCGGCCAGGAGGTGTATTACCATTACGCTCAAGGTCGGGCGAGGTACGGAGTGCCGCAGGTGTACATGAAGACGGAGAACAACCAGGAGGTGGAGTTCCAGCGGAGGAACTCGACTAAAGGTATCGAGAAGGCGGCCTCGCAGCCGCAGCTGTGCTACGAGGACGAGAGGGTGAACGAGCAGCCCAGGAACCCCGACACCATGAAGACCCTTACTGTGGACCCTCTAGACAAGGAGAGGTACGAGATCACCGTCGAGGACAGAGGACTAGGCGAGTTCGGGAGGACCGACTCCCAGAGGAAGGACGAGTACCGACCGGAAACCAGCTTCGGCATCAGAAGAGACGACGCGGTCAGGTGCTCCAAGAGGGAACAGGAAGCTCCAGCGCAAGAGAATCAAGAGTCGGAAGCTACTTCCGTTCAGAAGAGGATCGAGGAGCTCCAGAAACGGGCAGAGGAGAGTCACTATGGCGCCAAAGTGTCCAAAGAGGGAGATGTGGATGGTGCTAGAAATTGTCTGAAGTCTGTGGATACGAAGAGGAATGAGAGTCAGTACCCCAAGGAACCAGGGAAAACGGAAGCCAGGAAGGACGAGCTGGAACATGGGATTGGCAGACTCAAGATCCAGAATCAGGGGTCGGGATCGGATTATGATAAGGCTGGACAGAGTAGCTCCAATGTCGACTCTGGCAGAGGGTCGGCTGTCTACTCTAGTGGCAGGAGACCACCCCCTGAGGACCAGACACATCCTCCAGGTATGTTGTTTATAGGTCCTTAATGGGTATTTGATGATTTGGGTGAATGTTAGATGTGTATGTCATGTGTATGTGTTATGTATGTACATGTGATATATGTGGATCATGTGGACATGTTATATATGTACATGTAGCATGTGTAGATCATATGGACATGTTATATATGTACAATGTGACATGTGTAGATCACGTGAACATGTTACATATGTACATGTAGCATGTGTAGATCATGTGAACATGTTACATATGTACATGTAGCATGTGTAGGTTAAGTGGACATGTTGCATATGTACATATGGCATGTATAGATCATGTGGACATGTTATAGATGTACATGTGACATGTGTAGGTCAAGTGGACATGTTGCACATGTACATATAGCATGTGTAGCTCATATGGACATGTTGCAAATGTACATATGGCATGTATAAATCATGTGGACACGCTATAGATGTACATGTGATATGTGTAGGTCAAGTGGACATGTTGCATATGTACATGTGATATATGTGGATCATGTGGACATGTTATATATGTACATATGGCATGTATAGATCATGTGGACATGTTACATATGTACATGTGACATGTGTAGATTATGTGGACATGTTACATATGTACATGTAGCATGTGTAGATCATATAGACATGTTACACATGTACATATGGCATGTGTAGATCATGTAGACATATTACACATGTACATGTGACACGTGCAAATTATATAGACACGCTGTATACCTACATATAACATGTGTAGATCATGTAGACATGTAATATATGCACATGTAACATATGTAGATCATGTGCCCGTGTATACAATATCAAGTAACATTGTTCAACAGAAACCTTGTCCACTGGTTGTGATAAATATCAATGTTCTTTCGTCGTATGTATAGTACAAGACTCAGAGTGGGTGGACATCGTTGAATCAGAGCTGAGAAGCATTCTAGAACCACGAGATGTTCCTGCAATGGCGCATTCTACTTTATCTGAAAGTGTATCATCGGTAACACCACCCCTGCCGCCGCTTTCGCCCCATGAAAGTCCCAGAACACCGAGAAATCGATACTCGGCGAGGTAACGTTACTTCAAACAGATCTGTTCGTCTCGTAACCGATGTCACTTCCGGTCACTGGCCGGGCTACTTCCGATTATTTCTACCCTTCGCGTAGATCGAAACGCCGATATCGCGACCGACCGATCTTTCAGGGACGAGTGGCATTATGCATCCATCCATCTTTTTGAAAATTTTGCAATTTTAAACGCGATATAAGTTGTTTTATTGTTGAATTATGTAGTTCGATAATATATTTAGTAGTTAAATTAGTAGGCTTGATGGAATGACAAATTTGCTATGTAGTATTAGACTCTGACTTTGTTAACAACTTTCATGCTTATAATTAACAATTAAGTAGTTTAATTTGTATTTGCAAATCTGTAGATTACTAAATTTTATTGTGCAGATTTCCACATTCCCCAATTCCTACATTATCCAGTTCCCACATTCCCCAATTCCAACATTCCCCAATTCCCACATTCCCCAATTCCAAGATTTCCCAATTCCCCAATCCTCCCCCCAATTCCCACATTCCCCAATTCCCACATTCCCCAATTCCCACATTCCCCAATTCCCACATTCCCCAATTCCCACATTCCCCAATTCCCACATTCCCCAATTCCCACATTCCCCAATTCCCACATTCCCCAATTCCCACATTCCCCAATTCCCACATTCCCCAATTCCCACATTCCCCAATTCCCACATTCCCCAATTCCCACATTCCCCAATTCCCACATTCCCCAATTCCCACATTCCCCAATTCCCACATTCCCCAATTCCCACATTCCCCAATTCCCACATTCCCCAATTCCCACATTCCCCAATTCCCACATTCCCCAATTCCCACATTCCCCAATTCCCACATTCCCCAATTCCCACATTCCCCAATTCCCACATTCCCCAATTCCCACATTCCCCAATTCCCACATTCCCCAATTCCCACATTCCCCAATTCCCACATTCCCCAATTCCCACATTCCCCAATTCCCACATTCCCCAATTCCCACATTCCCCAATTCCCACATTCCCCAATTCCCACATTCCCCAATTCCCACATTCCCCAATTCCCACATTCCCCAATTCCCACATTCCCCAATTCCCACATTCCCCAATTCCCACATTCCCCAATTCCCACATTCCCCAATTCCCACATTCCCCAATTCCCACATTCCCCAATTCCCACATTCCCCAATTCCCACATTCCCCAATTCCCACATTCCCCAATTCCCACATTCCCCAATTCCCACATTCCCCAATTCCCACATTCCCCAATTCCCACATTCCCCAATTCCCACATTCCCCAATTCCCCAATTCCCAAATCCCCCAATTCCCCAATCCTCCAATTCCCAAATTTCCCAATTTCCACATTGCCCAATTCCAAAATTTCCCAATTCCCACATTCCCTAATTCCCACGTTTCCCAATTCCCATATTACCCAATTCCCACATTGTCAAGATTCCCGAATTGTCCAGATTCCCAAATTGTCCGGATTCCCAAATTGTCCAAATTCCCATATTGTCTAGATTCCCAAATTGTCCAGGTTCCCATATTTTCTTGATTCCCAAATTGTCCAGCTTTCCAAATTGCCCAGATTTCTAAATTGTCCAGGTTCCCATATTTTCTAGATTCCCAAATTGTCCAGTTTCCCAAATTGTCCAGCTTCCCAAATTGCCTAGATTTCCAAATTGTCCAGATTCCCATATTTTCTAGATTCCCAAATTGTCCAGCTTCCCAAATTGTCCAGATTCCCAAATTGTCCAGGTTCCCAAATTGTCCAGCTTCCCAAATTGTCTACATTCCCAAATTGTCTACATTCCCAAATTGTTCAGATTCCCAAATTCTCCAAATGCCGAGAGCCTTAATTTCTCCAAAATCCCCAACCTTAAATCCCCATATCCTGAGTTTCCTTCAACTTGCAACCCCATCCCGAAATTGCCAAAATTGCCGAAATTATTACGTAGCGATATTGTTACTAACACGACAAAGAGTCCGATTGCAGAGTGCTCGTTACAGATGACAGTGTAGGTTTCCGTTCGATTTGCAAATCACATGCTACCTCTAATTACCGGTGCCGTCCCTACGAAACAATAATTATTTAAATATCGTGGTGTATCACCATTAGTTCGCCAGATACATCCGAGGCCCGAAAGCAACCTGTGTTCATTCAACTGTATCACATTACGTACTTTCACGATAATTAACCATCCTCCACGGCTTTCTCGGCAACCTTAACAATCGCATGTTTGTGGCTCTTTTAGCTTACCATACGGATCGAAACCTAATTACAGCGATTACAGCAAGGTCATGGAGAAGAGAGTATTCTCGGGCAATTCGAAACATCGCGGTGCCTCCACGTCCAAGAAAGAGACTGCCAAGAAATTCTCCCATCGTAAGTAATACCTTTTCTCGATTGCATGATCAGACATGAAAGGGTTATCGCTCTCGAGGCAGATATGCTAATGCGATTTATTTAGTTTTTGGAGTGGAGGCTGCAGATCTTACGTCGACGACCACGGGACTCGATTTGGACTCCATGTTGGATAGGAGCGACTCGGATCTTAGTACGAATGATGCTAGGACTATTAGGAAGCAGTTGGAGGGACTGGAAAATATGTATAGCGAGGTGATATGATCTTTCATATATTTATTAAATTCCCTAGATATTAAGTTTACAAATCCCACCTTGCCAGATACCTGAATCTCCAAATGTTCACATCCCTATGTTCCTAAATCTCATTTCTATTCGTCCCTTTCCCAAATTCCCTAGCTCTCAAATTACCTAGCTTCCAAATTCCTGAATCTGCAATTCCCTAAATTCCCAAATTTCCCTTTCCCTAAATTACCAAATCTCCGAATTTCCAATTCTCCAAATCCCTAAATCTCCAGAGCCCCAAATTCCCAAATCTCCAACTTCCTAAATACCCATCTCTCTAAGTTCACAACTTCTTAAATTCCCATTTTCCTAAATTCCCATCTTTCTAAATTCCCATCTATCTAAATTCCCAACCTCCCAAATTCCCAACTTCCTAAATTCCCACCTTGCTAAATTCCCATTTTCCTAAATTCCCATCTTCCTAAGTTCCCAACTTCCTAAATTTCCATCTTTCTAAATCCTCAACTTCCTAAATTCCCATCTTTCCAAATTCCCAACTTCCTAAATCTCCATATTTCTAAATTTCCATCTTCCTAAATTCCCAACTTCTCAAATTCCCAAATCCCTAAATCCCCAAATTCCCAAATCCCCAAATCCCCAAATTCCCGAATCCCCAAATCCCCAAATTCCCAAATCTCCCATTCCCTAAATTACCAAATCTCTAAATCCCCAACTCTCCAAATCCCTAAATCTCCAAAGCCCCAAATCCCCAAATATCCAACTTCCTAAATCCCCATCTCTCTAAATTCCCAACTTCCGAAATCCCCATATTTCTAAATTTCCATCTTCCTAAATCCCCATCTTCCTAAATCCCCAACATCCCCAAATCCCCAAATCCCCAAATCCCCAAATCCCCAAATCCCCAAATCCCCAAATCCCCAAATCCCCAAATCCCCAAATCCCCAAATCCCCAAATCCCCAAATCCCCAAATCCCCAAATCCCCAAATCCCCAAATTCCCAAATCCCCAAATCCCCAAATCCCCAAATTCCCAAATCTCCTATTCCCTAAGTCCCCAAATCCCCAAATCCCCAAATCCCCAAATCCCCAAATCCCCAAATCCCCAAATCCCCAAATCCCCAAATCCCCAAATCCCCAAATCCCCAAATCCCCAAATCCCCAAATCCCCAAATCCCCAAATCCCCAAATCCCCAAATCCCCAAATCCCCAAATCCCCAAATCCCCAAATCCCCAAATCCCCAAATCCCCAAATCCCCAAATCCCCAAATCCCCAAATCCCCAAATCCCCAAATCCCCAAATCCCCAAATCCCCAAATCCTCAAATTCCCAAATCTCCAAATCCCAATCCCTAAATTTGCCACATCCCACCTTGCCAAATCCCCAAATCCCCAAATGTCCACATCCCTATATCCCCAAATCTTATTCCAATTCCCCAAGAAATCGATCTCTGTAAACGTTACGCGTCACCTGTATTCATTGGCCTTATCCGTAGGTGTTGAAACTACTGGGTGGAAGCGTGAAGAAAAAACGAAAGGCCCGGGGCCTAACTAGTTACGGTTCGGTCTCCTCGTTGCCAACGTCGTCCGTTTCCTCTAGGCCTGTCACCAGGCACCACGACAAACGCAGGTCCCACGTTATCGATGATAGAATGAAGAAAGCCAAAGACATCAAGGTCAGTTACGCAATATTATTGTCCATTTCGTTAGACGAGCTGATACGTTCTTTCATATACAGGGCCGTTCAAAAGTTACGGTCTCTGTTCTTGGATGAAATCTTTTGGGGAAATTTGGAATTATGGATTGAATTTATGGTTGCAGAGTATCAATAAACGCTTCCAGCGATTGGAGTCGCATGTGGTGACACTGGCGAGGTCAGTGGCACACCTGAGCTCTGAAATGAGGACGCAGCATCTGATGATACAGGTGAGAGAATCTCGTTAATATTTATTTATTAAGCGGTTAAACCTTTAATCATTAATATTAAATATACAATACTTGGATATAGGAACGGCTGCTGACACTTATTATAATTTTTACTATTTTTTTGAGTGTAGCAATAATTATGTTAATGTCACGTGACAACGATGCTAGCTGTATGATAAGGAAAATGATTAAAATTATGAGGATAGGTGAAGTAGGTAAATAAAAAAAGGGATGAATTTCCGAAACTCATTAATACTAGGTATTCGCAGGAAATGGAGAACATAAGGGGCGAGATTGCTGCACTCAGGACACAAACGAGTATGGCGATGGTGAGATCACAATCCCAGCCACTAATCAAGGACTCCGAATTGCCAGCCCTTTCCAATCCTTCGAGGGTGAAAAAGCTCACCAAGTTCTTCGGAACAGAACCACCCCTGATACGATTATTCCTCAGGGAACTTGGGTATGAGGTATGTCATACACTTTTCAATTTTAAGAATTTTTAATTATTCAAGTTGGTGAATTTTTAATTGTTAAAATTATATACATTTTCAGTTTGAACATTGTTAAGTTCCTAAATGTGCAAATTTCCTAATCCTCAAATTTCAAGATTCCCAACTTCACAAGTTCCTGACTTCCTAAATTCCCATCTTTCCAGATTCCCGACTTCCTAAATCCCCATCTTTCTAAATTCCCAACTTTTTAAATTACCTACTTTCTAAATTCCCAACTTCCTAAATCCCCATCTATCTAAATTCCCACTCTCCCAAATTTCCAACTTCCTAAATTCCCCTTTTCCTAAATCCCCATCTTTCTAAATTCCTAACTTCCTAAACCCCCATCTATCTAAATTCCCAACCTTCCAAATTCCCAACTTCCCAACTTCCCAAATTCCCATTTTCCCAAATTCCCATTTTCCTGAATTTCCATCTTTCTAAATTCCCAACTTCCTAAATCCCCATCTATCTAAATTTCCACTCTCCCAAATTCCCAACTTCCTAAATTCCCATTTTCCTAAATTCCCATCTTTCTAAATTCCCAACTTCCTAAATCCCCATCTGTCTAAATTCCCAACCTCCCAAATTCCCAACTTCCCAAATTCCCATTTTCTCAAATTCGCATTTTCCTGAATTCCCATCTTTCTAAATTCCCAACTTCCTAAATCCCCATTTGTCTAAATTCCCAACCTCCCAAATTCCCAACTTCCCAAATTCCCATTTTCTCAAATTCCCATTTTCCTGAATTCCCATCTTTCTAAATTCCCAACTTCCTAAATTCCCATTTTCCTAAATTGCCATCTTTCTAAATTCCCAACTTCCTAAATCCCCATCTTTCTAAATCCCCAATTTCCTAAATTCCTATCTTTCTAAATTCCCAACTCCCTAAATTCCCACCTTCCTAAATTCCCATCTTCCTAAATCCCCATCTTTCTAAATCCCCAACTCCCTAAATTCCCACCTTCCTAAGATCCCATCTTCCTAAATCCCCATCTCCTTAAATCCCCATCTTCTTTAAAGCCCAAATCCCCAAATCCCCAAATTCCAAAATTAAAATTCTCAAACTCCCAACTGCCTAAATCCCCAAACTCTCAGCTTCAAGCTCTCAGCTTCCCGAAATCCATTTCTAACGACTTCTGTTATCTCCTGTCACCTCCACAACTTTGAATAGCGTCATTATCCTCCCCATCGAATTTTCGTAAGGATATTCAGCAAGTTTCCCCCAAAATTCTCGTTACAGAAATACGCGGCGGCGTTCGAAAAGGAAAAAGTTGGAATGGTGGAACTTCCGTACCTAAGCGAAGAAAGGCTGCAAAAAATGGGCGTACCTCTGGGGCCGCGGTTGAGGATTCTTCAGGAGGCACGAATATCAGTATGCAAGGATCCAATTTACGTTGTGTGAATTTCATAATATGTACATACACTTCTGAAGAGAAGTCTATCCAATCGAGTGAAAGAGAATAATAAACATGAACGTTGGGGATTTTCAAGGACACCTAGAAATAACCTCTCGATAAACATTTGTTTTTTTTTGAAGGGAAGTATCGAAGTCCTAAAGTGTTCGAACAATTATTGTTCAACTTATTGTTTAAAGAAAATTATGCTGCCGTGGAAAATATACCACTCGGATATATTCTTAACTTTTTGTACTTTCTTTATGTTTAATTTAAACATGCGGTTATTATGATGCTAGTTTTATAGTAATTATTCTAGGGATATTACTCATGGAATTGTTTCATTTCGTTTATGTAATTTATTATAAATTATTAGCGAACGTCGTTGTGAGGAAAGGTAATTCTATCGTTCGTTTTCAAATTTCCCGCCAAGCTTCCCGCCAAATTTCAAATTTAAATGTTAAACGAAACCTAAATTATCTTTTGTTGGTGAAATAGTTTATGTAATTTACATGTCTGAAAACATTTTGATCTGAGAAAATTAAGGAGGAAATTGTGAATTTCCTAATTTCAATTTAAATAAATAATGTTAGTATAGAAACTTCGGTTTACAGCGTTTCAACCAAAAATTACAGCATGCTAGTAAATAATATTTTTGTTAAAAGCTATCGATCTTATATTTTACTAGGCGAATGCTTTCTATAATTTATGAACCGAAACCTAACCTTAATGTTAATATTATCGTGTATATTATATTATTAATATACATCGTGTTATCTCTTATAGTTTATTTCCCGTTTGTGCGACTGCACTCCAATAAATATTTCTACAATTAGGCTTTTTGGAATAATTTTATAAATGGTGCAGTAACAAAATGGGTTTCCATAAATGAATCAACGTGTACATACTTACAGAGATAATGTACTTTACCATTTTTGATAAGACTTTATAAAACGATTATACAATAAATATTCAAATTTCAGAGTCTATTGAGATTATTTCTATTGAGCTTATATTTCCAGAATTGGGGATTTTGCAATTCTTAAATTTTCAAATTGGCAATTTTCCAAATTCTCAAATCTTCAAATTCACAAATTTCTATATCCCCAACTTTCTAAATTCCCGTCTTCCTAAATCCCCATTTTCCTAAATTCCCAACTTCCTAAATTCCCACCTTTCTAAATTCCCAACTTCCTAAATTCCCATTTTCCTAAATTCCCATCTTTCTAAATCCCCATCTTTCTAAATTCCCATCTTTCTAAATTCCCAACTTCCTAAGTTCCCATCTTTCTAAATTCCCACCTTCCTAAATTCCCAACTTTCTAAATTCCCAACTTCCTAAATCCCCATCTTTCTAAATTCCCAACTTCCTAAATCCCCATTTTTCTAAATTCCCAACTTCCTAAATCCCCATCTTCCTAAATCCCCATCTTTCTAAATTCCCAACTTCCTAAATCCCCAGCTTCCGAAATCCCCATCTTTCTAAATTCCCAACTTCCTAAATCCCCATCTTCCTAAATTTCCAACTTCCTAAAATCCTCAAATTCTCAAATCCCCAAATTCTCAAATCCCCAATTTCTCAAGTCCCCAAATTCGCAAATTTGAAAACATCCAACCCCCCCAAATTAAAAATGGTTAAACTCAAAAATGTGAAACATCCTGACCCTCACCTAGTTACTTCGGTGCAACTAAATAATATCTATCCGATTAATAGATCGCAAGATTTTTCGGTATCGTTTTCAATGATATAATACCACAGCTACTCGATACTGTAATACGAAACATCGCAACACGATAAACATTGTGGTAAGAATGTAATAGCACTGATAATAACAATTTACTTCCGCCAACTATCATTACGTTCAAACAAAATTTCTCACAATAAAAATTTTTGAAATAATTAAAATTTATTACAAAAATCACGAATATCAAAATTCATCACTTTCCAAATTCTCACATTTTTAAATATACAACATCTCCAAATTTCCACATTCTCAAATTTCCAATTTTCCCAAAAATCCACAAAAATTATTTTCCCCCACCAGTATTTTCAAAATAACTAAAAAAATAAAAAATTTCCATCGATAATTATTCTACAACTCGTCCACTTAATTGAAAGGGAAGGCATCAAACGGTGTCTGCTAAACTATCATGGCGTCCATGTATTAATACTCGCTGGTGCAATTATCCCGCTCAGCGTCGATTAAACATAGTAGCCGTGGTCTGAAGCCATAACAGCGACAGCAGATCACTTGGTGGTCTGTGTACAGTACGTTGTAACAGTTAATACGCGATTATTCAATTGAATGAAGCTGTTGATTCACGAGGAACTAGCCAGCGTTTAGAAAACGTTTTAGCAGACGCCACAGGTTTCCCTCTCGTATTAAACAATAGACAAATATGAAATTTTGCAATTGTTTCGATCGTTCTTCCTCGGTGTACAAGGTTTCAAAATAACCCTTTTAACTCCTGTTATCATTTGCATGGGTTTATTCGATGATACACTTTTCGGTTCGTGAGGAATATATGGGAGTTTTATGGGAGTCATATGCCTTCTTTCTAGCTCTGCACTGTTCAAGATATACTTTACATGGTTCTAAAAGTTCCAATATGTTAATATATATTTATTCATTGTTAATATATTTAATGTATATTTCAGAACCTTAAAACATCATGAGCCAACAAGTCAGCCACGAGCAAAAATCTTTATACAAGCTTGTTAAGTGTCCGTTTGATATCGAACACTTGGGCAGGGAGATGACTTCTGTAAATTTGATCGAAGCAGGGAACGAGTGGGTTGCGGATATCCGACACGTGAGACTCCAAATTCCATTTCCTGGAACTAGTGGGCATAGCCGCCACTTAAGGGAGCATACGGTGGACGCTTAAACATCTTATCTTGGAAACGGTTGACCTTTCGACCTATGTTTACTGAGACTACCTTGTAAAAGAATGGCCATATAACGAACGAGTGTGGTTTTCGACATTGGATTAATTTATACAATTCTGGGAAATGAACATTTATCGAGCGGTCATATAATAGACACAGATGGTGAATTCTTTCAATATATTTGACTAACCTAACTTAACTATTTGCATATTTAGAAATCTTCTATAAAGAGCAGAATTGTATGGAATGGCCATATAACGAACGAGTGTGGTTTTCGACATTGGATTAATTTATACAATTCTGGGAAATGAACATTTATCGAGCGGTCATATAATAGACACAGATGGTGAATTCTTTCAATATATTTGACTAACCTAACTTAACTATTTGTATATTTAGAAATCTTCTATAAAGAGCAGGATTGTATGCATAAATATGTTGAACTCTTGTGATTGTGTGATTGTGTGATTGTGTGATTGTGAGATTGTGGGTTGGGTTCTAGAAAATGGGGTACCCTCCGATTTAACTGATTTATATATCAAAAGAAAGCCCTTGACTTGGCGATTTTAACGGTGGTCATCCCACCCCTTAACTCCCACCCCTCTGCCCCCTAGAAGCCAAAAACTGAAACGGATCAAAAAGTGATTTTTCTCCATATCTCTGCGAGTTTATTATTTCCATCCCTTTTTTTTTTATATTCAGATTTGGTTAGGATACATCGTTTGGGTCGGGGTTGCAGGGGGAGGGGCGTAGACCCTCCCCCGCCAATACGTTTAGATTTTGAACTGTATTTATATTTCTTGCCTGGTGAGTGTGAATGCTTGGTCTGCGCCCCACCGCAGCCGAACCTGCCAATCGAGCCAAAGCGTCGAAGACGTGCAATATAAACTTTCAATTATATTAGGTTAGGTTAGGTTAGGTAGGTTAGGTTAGGTAGGTTAGGTTAGGTAAGGTTAGGTAGGTTAGGTTAGGTTAGGTGGGCTAGGTAGGTTAGGTAGGTTAGGTTAGGTAGGTTAGGTTAGGTAGGTTAGGTTAGGTAAGGTAGGTTAGGTTAGGTAGGTGAGGTTAGGTTAGGTAGGTTAGGTTAGGTAGGTTAGGTACATTTATCGAGCGGTCATATAATGGACACAGATGGTGAATTCTTTAAATATATTTGTCTAACCTAACTTAACTATTTGTATATTTAGAAATCTTCTATATAGAGCAGGATTGTAGACATAAATATGTCGAACTCTTTTGATACCAATTGGATGAAATGAACATTTATCGAGCGGTCATATAATGGACACAGATGGTGAATTCTTTAAATATATTTGTCTAACCTAACTTAACTATTTGTATATTTAGAAATCTTCTATATAGAGCAGGATTGTAGACATAAATATGTCGAACTCTTTTGATACCAATTGGATGAAATGAACATTTATCGAGCGGTCATATAATGGACACAGATGGTGAATTCTTTAAATATATTTGTCTAACCTAACTTAACTATTTGTATATTTAGAAATCTTCTATATAGAGCAGGATTGTAGACATAAATATGTCGAACTCTTTTGATACCAATTGGATGAAATGAACATTTATCGAGCGGTCATATAACAGACACAGATGGTTAATTCTTTAAATATATTTGACTAACCTAACATAGCTATTTGCATATTTAAAAATCTTCTATAAAGAGCAGGATTGTAGACATAAATATGTCGAACTCTTTCGATACCAATTGGATGAAATGAACATTTATCGAGCGGTCATATAATAGGCACAGATGGTTAATTCTTTAAATATATTTGACTAACTTAACTTAACTATTTGCATATTTAGAAATCTTCTATAAAGAGCAGGACTGTAGACATAAATATGTCGAACTCTTTTGATACCAATTGGATGAAATGAACATTTATCGAGCGGTCATATAGTGGACACAGATGGTTAATTCTTTAACAGATGGTGAATTCTTTAAATATATTTGTCTAACCTAACTTAACTATTTGTATATTTAGAAATCTTCTATATAGAGCAGGATTGTAGACATAAATATGTCGAACTCTTTTGATACCAATTGGATGAAATGAACATTTATCGAGCGGTCATATAATGGACACAGATGGTGAATTCTTTAAATATATTTGTCTAACCTAACTTAACTATTTGTATATTTAGAAATCTTCTATATAGAGCAGGATTGTAGACATAAATATATCGAACTCTTTTGTTATTAATTTAATGAAATGAACATTTATCGAACGGTCATATAACAAATGTTATTAATTCTTCGAATATATTTGACTCACATAACCTAACTATTTGCGTATTTAAAAATTCTCTACAGAGAACTAAAAATAAATACTGAACAATTATAAAATTCGGGTCTCTAATAAAATGAGGAAGAATTCCCACAGAAAATCGTAATTACGCGTATTTATAGCTGACCCCTTTCCATCTTCTGCCTCGATCAACTGCGTTTTAAATGCGGTACGCCACGAATTACCCGTGAAGGTTACGTCTAAACTAGCATCTATACGATTGTGTACGACAGTTTGAATCATCAGTACCAGAAATAAGAGTTCGACGATCGGTCGAGTACGGAGGCCGGCAAAGGGCCTCGCGCGACCTCAGATGACCAATCAAAGACCAGAAATAATTGGACGCAATTGTTAAATTGTGCATTTCCGGACAAAAGTGGCCTGCCCTGTCTAGCCGACGATTCTGCCGAAATTTCGAATATGAGAACCTTCAATTAGGTTACGTGGTCTTCAAGTTTCGGATCAAAGGTGCTTGTCGTATCTGCTACTTTTATCTCGAGTATTATGATTTAATTAGGTTCCACTGATACATGTTTATGGAAATTTGAGAGGCTGTTAGGGATGCTTACATAATTATGGATAGCACTTAGATCTTGCAGAAACTGTGGCTGCCTCAGGGGTGTTCTACGGGGCTGCAGTAGATTTGCTCTAGATTGGCAATATCCAAATTCCTAAACAGGTAGACCTGAGTGAGCAAGGTGATGAATGATTAGAATTAATATTAAAATTACATGAAACAGAAGGTACCCACACCCACTTGTAGACATCACAAGCACTCATTTAAACAAATTTCTACCACCCCATCCATAAGTAGACGTACACTCCTGAACCCATGAAATGTTAAACCCTCTTCGCTACCATACTTGAAGACCACACCAATAACCTCATAAGTAGCTTAAAATATAGGTAGCATAGTTATTAATACAGTAGAGTATGGCCACAAAAATAATTCCATACTTGTTTATTTCGCATCAACTTGCAATAACATGATAATACGTGGCTACATGATTTTTGGACACGAATCGCGTCCTACGCAATGAAAATACAGGGACAGCGAGTGAATCAACGGGTCAACAATGTAGCGCGATAATGGTTGTTCATCGAAAGAAATAAAGCAAGCGGTAGAGTTTTCTCGCGGTTGAAGATACAATCTCAATTGACCTATGGCCCCTACTCTCGGACCTCTTCTCGGCCATCGTTCGCCTTCTGTTCATAAACTCGTCTCGTCTTTCCTTCATTTCGCAACGATCGTTCATCGAGGATGAACCGAAACACCGAGTTCCTCCTCGTCTTCCTGTTTCTGGCCTTGTCCGTGGCCTGCGCGGAACGCATCCCATGGAGGACCTGCCCTTACCCTGACTGTGAGTACTTTTCTTATTTCTTGCATCGAACTTCATTTACAAATTACATTTAATACAAATTTTCACATTTCCAATACTTCACATTTCACATTCAATATTATAGGCTAGTTCTAATAGTTCTAATTGATCGAGCAATCTTGATCTTCTTGATTATCAGGCATCAGAGTTGGTCCCTTTACCTCCACCCTCCTTTTCACAATTTCTAAATTTCAAAGAATTGAAGTCTGGGAAAATTGCTGTTCATCATTAGTAATTTACAATTGAAATAACTGGCAGTAATTGTAACTCGATGAATTACTTTTTTATACTTCATACCAACTGTTTAGGGATACCTTCTCACAATTTCTAAGTTTGAAGAACGTGAACTGCGAAGAAATTTTCACGTATTCTGCCGAAATTTCGAATATGAGAACCTTCAATTAGGTTACGTGGTCTTCAAGTTTCGGATCAAAGGTGCTTGTCGTATCTGCTACTTTTATCTCGAGTATTATGATTTAATTAGGTTCCACTGATACATGTTTATGGAAATTTGAGAGGCTGTTAGGGATGCTTACATAATTATGGATAGCACTTAGATCTTGCAGAAACTGTGGCTGCCTCAGGGGTGTTCTACGGGGCTGCAGTAGATTTGCTCTAGATTGGCAATATCCAAATTCCTAAACAGGTAGACCTGAGTGAGCAAGGTGATGAATGATTAGAATTAATATTAAAATTACATGAAACAGAAGGTACCCACACCCACTTGTAGACATCACAAGCACTCATTTAAACAAATTTCTACCACCCCATCCATAAGTAGACGTACACTCCTGAACCCATGAAATGTTAAACCCTCTTCGCTACCATACTTGAAGACCACACCAATAACCTCATAAGTAGCTTAAAATATAGGTAGCATAGTTATTAATACAGTAGAGTATGGCCACAAAAATAATTCCATACTTGTTTATTTCGCATCAACTTGCAATAACATGATAATACGTGGCTACATGATTTTTGGACACGAATCGCGTCCTACGCAATGAAAATACAGGGACAGCGAGTGAATCAACGGGTCAACAATGTAGCGCGATAATGGTTGTTCATCGAAAGAAATAAAGCAAGCGGTAGAGTTTTCTCGCGGTTGAAGATACAATCTCAATTGACCTATGGCCCCTACTCTCGGACCTCTTCTCGGCCATCGTTCGCCTTCTGTTCATAAACTCGTCTCGTCTTTCCTTCATTTCGCAACGATCGTTCATCGAGGATGAACCGAAACACCGAGTTCCTCCTCGTCTTCCTGTTTCTGGCCTTGTCCGTGGCCTGCGCGGAACGCATCCCATGGAGGACCTGCCCTTACCCTGACTGTGAGTACTTTTCTTATTTCTTGCATCGAACTTCATTTACAAATTACATTTAATACAAATTTTCACATTTCCAATACTTCACATTTCACATTCAATATTATAGGCTAGTTCTAATAGTTCTAATTGATCGAGCAATCTTGATCTTCTTGATTATCAGGCATCAGAGTTGGTCCCTTTACCTCCACCCTCCTTTTCACAATTTCTAAATTTCAAAGAATTGAAGTCTGGGAAAATTGCTGTTCATCATTAGTAATTTACAATTGAAATAACTGGCAGTAATTGTAACTCGATGAATTACTTTTTTATACTTCATACCAACTGTTTAGGGATACCTTCTCACAATTTCTAAGTTTGAAGAACGTGAACTGCGAAGAAATTTTCACGTTTCACATTAGGCACCCCTGGGCAGTGTAACGAGAGTCAACAATCTTACTAATACAGATGTTTTAACGAAGTTCGACGCGATAGTTATTTTTGGATGAAGTTAGGAAAGATGCGATTAATCTAACCCATGCACACATACGAAGAGCATTTCGATAACACGAACCCTGCCTAGGCCCCACGGACTCTGAAGATGGTGTCCACAACGAACAAGAACAGCCACCTCTGCTTAAATATTCTTTCGACTCATCGAGTACTTCATTTTTGTCGAATTATCGAAAGGGACACTCTGTCAAAGTACTCTGATCAGCGGTGTAGATACGCGGTGCATATTAACCCTCGCCTTGCGATATCGTCTCCCGCACGTGACGCACGTAACTGTTGAAACGCGACGAATCTGGCTCGCATTTTCACCACGATTCAATTTCGCGTTTAATTTCAATTCCTACCCCTCCAATGACCGCCACGTACAAAATTTCCCTAACATTTGAACATTCTTTGTCTCAACGTTGCGACAATAATTAGGCCCTGTCTGACGCACTCGGGGAAACCACAAGTTAAACCTAGCGTTTGTGTAATATTTTGACGGTCCACGTCAATATGGACACTCGTACAATTAAAAGGTTAATAGGTGATTTCATTTGCAACTCGGTTTGAAATTCAACTTATAGAGCGTGTTTACAAGTGAACAGAGTATATGCTCACTTATGTATTACCTATATGCGTGCATCTGCATATTAAGTTTCTTGATTAAACCACACGTGCAACGTGACGTGTATTTACGATGTAGAAATGCGGTTTTGTTTCTGAGAACCAGGACCATCTATCTACGCCGCGTATAATTAACGATATAATGAGCAACAATTATTTACAACTGGAGCACAAGTAATATTAGCCAGATTAAACGGAATACTGATTTACACAACTTTCCTCGCGCTTAAGTGAACTTTAGCTTAATTAACATTTTTATCGGCATTCATTACGATTTAATGGGGTATCTTATGGCATTTATGGGAGCGCACCAGGATTTTTATTTTATGCGAACATGGTTGAGGATATTTTGAGATCATTTTTTGGGGGGGTTAGTTGGTTTAGAAATGGAAAATTTGTGAAGGGGGCGTTGGGGTTTCGGGGGATTAGGGATTTGCAAGTTTGGGGGATGGGGTTGGGAATTTGGGGGATTTGGGGATTTGGGGATTTGGGGATTTGGGGATTTGGGGATTTGGGGATTTGGGGATTTGGGAATTTGGGGATTTGGGGATTTGGGGATTTGGGGATTTGAGAATTTGAAAATTTTGGAATTTGGGGATATAGGGATTTGGGAATTTAGGAATTTGGGGAATTTGGAATTTGGAATTTGGAATTTGGAAATTTTGAAATATTGGAATTTTCAAATTTTCGAAATTTGGAATTTTGGAATTTTCGAAATTTGGGAAAATTTGGAATTTGGAAATTGTGGAATTTGGAAATTTTGGAATTGGGAAATTTTGGAATTTGGAAATTGTGGTATTTGGAAATTGTGGAATTGGGAAATTTTGGAATTGGGAAAATTTGGAATTTGGAAATTGTGGAATTGAGAAATTGTGGAATTGGGAAATTTTGGAATTAGGAAACTTTGGAATTTGGAAACTTTGGAATTGGGAAAATTTGGAATTTGGAAATTGTGGAATTTGGAAATTTTGGAATTGGGAAATTTTGGAATTTGAAAATTTGGAATTTGGAAATTGTGGAATTTGGAAATTGTGGAATTGGGAAATTTTGGAATTAGGAAACTTTGGAATTTGAAAATTTTGGAATTTGGAAATTTTGGAATTTGGAGCTTTAAGAATTTGCAAAGTTAGAAATTCAATAATACAAAAATTCAAATATACTTACCTATAAAGCTCAATAATAAATTTATTAATTTTGCAGCTAACACCCCAACAAACTGCACGATACACGAAGTATACTTAGACCCATGTGCAGAAGCAAAAGAGGAGAAACCATGCAAGGTAAAAAGAGGAATCACAGCAAATATGACTTTCCACTATACACCTGGTAAGTTTCCCAATTTCAAACATAGACAATAAATAACAATTTTACAATTTTTCAAAATAAATTTTGTTTAATTAAATATTATTGTGCAGAGTTCACGTCTGATAAGATGAACGTCCGAATTTTCTGGGCTAGTCAAGTAATGGATATTCCATTTTTGGGAATGGACCCCAATGCCTGTTTATCGACCACGTGTCCAGTTGTTGCGGGACAAAGGAACGTATATCATGCAGATATTCCTATTTTGAAAAAATATCCTGTTGTAAGTAAACAATTTTATTTAACTTATATAAGTACAAAAAATAAAAAACTGATCCATTTAGCATTTTAATAAAAATCCAATTATTAACAGTTTCATCAAATTGATACTTAATGCATTGTTGCAAAACATTACAATTTTTATAAAATATTTGTAAGAAATTTTGATGCTTTTTTGGTTAAGACTGTGATACTAATTTTTAAATTATTTTCTTTAAACTTGGATTTGTATAAAAATGCAAGACCATATACTGGTAACTGACGTATTATTTCAATTGTATCTGCATAACTGTGTTTGTTGATACATTTGTTGTTAGTCATCTTTAAATATCGAACAGAGCAACTATTGCTGTCCTTGTTTCTTAAATATAAAAGTATGTGAAAGACAAGGAGGGACAATACTGTTTCCCTATTTCGTCGCACGATGACGCCACTAGTCTTCACACTTTTACGATGGAGCCGATAGGAAATTATATTTAGAAAAATTAATGTTTCTATTCGTTATCAATTGACAATACAGACATTGTTTTATTACCTTCTGTCAGAAATGAGATATGAAAGTATGTCATTGTATCAAAGTATGTAACTTTATGAACAGTTTGTTAATTTTTAATTTTATTTGTTGCAGAGAACGTACGATATCAAGTGGAAGATCTGGAACGAAGAGGAACAAGAATGCTGTTTCATGTTTCAAATTAAAATTGTGAAATAACATCTGCCATGTTCTGTGGGGAACTATTGTGATCGGTTTTGTCATTTAATCAAATAAAATCATTACGACTAAGTAATCTTGTTTTTTATTGTTGTGTGATTATTAGAGATAGGGTTTCAAATTTTTAGAGGTAAAGATTTAATCATTTTTGAAATTTAAGATTTAATCATTTTTGAAATTTAAGATTTAATCATTTTTGAAATTTAAGGTTTATTAATTTTTAAATTTAAGATTTATTAATTTTTGAAATTCTAGATTTACTAATTTTTGAAATTCAAGATTTATTAATTTTTGAAATTTAAGATTTAATCATTTTTGAAATTTAAGATTTAATCATTTTTGAAATTTAAGATTTAATCATTTTTGAAATTTAAGATTTAATCATTTTTGAAATTTAAGATTTAATCATTTTTGAAATTTAAGATTTAATCATTTTTGGAATTCAAGATTTACTAATTTGTGAAATTCAAGATTTACTAATTTGTGAAATTCAAGATTTACTAATTTTTGAAATTCTAGATTTACTAATTTTTGAAATTCAAGATTTATTAATTTTTGAAATTCAAGATTTATTAATTTTTGAAATTTAAGATTTAATCATTTTTGAAATTTAAGATTTAATCATTTTTGAAATTTAAGATTTAATCATTTTTGAAATTTAAGATTTAATCATTTTTGAAATTTAAGATTTAATCATTTTTGAAATTTAAGATTTAATCATTTTTGAAATTTAAGATTTAATCATTTTTGAAATTTAAGATTTAATCATTTTTGAAATTTAAGATTTAATCATTTTTGAAATTTAAGATTTAATCATTTTTGAAATTTAAGATTTAATCATTTTTGAAATTTAAGATTTAATCATTTTTGGAATTCAAGATTTACTAATTTGTGAAATTCAAGATTTACTTTTCTAATCTTGAAACTTGCTAATTTACAAATTTGAAAATTTATTAATTTTGCACAATTTAGTTCACAACTTCTCAACTTTACTTTTTTCCTCAAAAATTTTACAAATTCTTAAATTTTTCAATTATCAAGTTTCCAAACTTACAATAAATGTTCAAATGATCCTTGAAGGTTAGACAAAGTCTATCCGCCATTTTAAAGATGGAGGAGTTCATGAATTTTCCCTCCAAAATTATTTAAGAAAATTCTACCATTACATACTTTATTGTTTATTCCACAAAAATATATCATCTACATATTTTTGTTTATTTTCCCCTCTTTTACTATCACACTTAAGTGAACAAATTATAGATTTTAATAAAAATATTCTTAATAAAGTAGCCATTCAAAAATGATTGATTATTAAAAAAATATTTGATGAAACACTACTGTCATTTTGACTCTATGCATATGTTTCATGTGTCATATTTTTTCATGTACATATTTTTGCAATTTTCCATGTACGTTCAGTAACCCTTAAACCTTCAAACTTTACATAAAAGTATAATCTATTTAATTTACCGCATCATTCACGGAATAGACTTCTCTCAAATTTTTTATCTGAAAATAAAAGAAATTCAAAAAGGAAAAAAGAAACCCGCTGCGGATAGGATTCGAACCTATGCGGGAAAAACCCATTGGATTTCGAGTCCAACTCCTTAACCACTCGGACACCGCAGCTTCTGCAAAACGTTCTTAAAATTGACATGAAACGATGCGTAACAACATTGTTAAAAAAATGTCATATCGAATCTTTAACTACAACAAACATTTGTACATCACTACATTAATTTCTAAAATCTAAACGAAAATAATAAATAATTCACTTTGTCAACATACAAATTTTCAATATAGTTACGTTATTACAAATTCGAAAATATAATTAGTTAACAATAATTTATTAAAAGCCACTTGACTAAAGAAACGTATAGAATGCAAAATATTTTCCTGTCTGTTATTTTCCTTTCTCAATATTTGTAAACGTGTAGACAACTTTTGTCAAGTTTTAAAATAGTCAACCTTATTTTGAGGAACAACTCAATTTTTATATTGAAATTTGTAAATTTTTCGTGGAAAGATAAATGAAAGGGGTAGTAACAATTTTAGAAAGCCATCTAGCGACAATTTCTAGAAATACAACAACTTTAATGAAACTCAGTCGCTAAGTTGAATTACGTATTAAAAATCTATTACACATTTTGCAAATTAAATTTTCATTTTTATTTATGTGTATACCCCTCTCTCTAATCTACTTTTATTGAAATTTTTATTAAAATATTTAAAATCAAATCAAACTTTACTTATTATACAAGATTATTATTATTATTATTTAGTATAAATGCGAGTGAAGATCATTAATCTAAACCTCTTCAAAATTCCTCGCCGTCGCCATTTTTGGCGTGGCGCATCTGCCGTTACGATGACATAATTTTTTCTCCATAAATGTAGAGAAGGTCCACAAAAAACTGGAATATTTTGTGTAGGATGAAGCGATTATTAAATGAGACACTCGTAATATATTATAGAGTCGATGACCATCGTTAAAAAACACATAACTTAGGGACTTCTGTCTGAATTTATGAAATAAGTGTATATTAGAAAATTATTAAATATTTACCTAAATTGCAATTTGTCCTTGATTTATCTTAAGATTAATCTTATATCTCAAAATATTAGATGTTATAATAAAGAAGGGACGCCATTTTGTACGAAGGGCAGACAAAATGGCGCTGTACGTAACAAAATGGAAGGTTTCTGAATAGAGTAGGTTCTATTTTGAAGAAAACAAATTAGAACTGCAATTTTGTTATACAAGTCTCTCTGTTAAAATTTTACCACAGGAATATGTCGAAGAGGTATCTTGAATAGTAAATCTATAAAGTGAAATTGACTGTATAATTGATTAAATAAAATGTACAGCACCTGAAAGTAGATTGAACTTCCTAAACTAGGTCCTGCAAGGTTCATCGATTTCTGAAGAGACTCCAATATTTCGTATCGATTAAACCTTCGATATAACCTAAAAAGTGAACATCATCGCTGCCTAACTCAGACCATCGCTACCTAACTACCTAGCTCTAGCTACCTAACTCATAGCACTACCTCAAGTTTAGTAAAACCCAACGTTCAAACCCAGCATTCAAAATACCGATAGAATTTTCCAGTAACCCGATACAGACGGTATAATATTTCTTGAAACAGAATCGGATCAAACAGAATTGTCGAATCGTATCGAATGTAGGTTCGGTACAAAGATATATAGAGAAACCGAACGCTTCCTTTCGTGTATCACGACTTTCTTTCATGCACCAGGTAAAAGTGTATCCGCTCAGGATGCGGTGGGTATTGTACGTGGTCAGCTAGTTTTGCAATTCTTATTCAAATCTACCAGACGATTTTGCATTCCGAAAGTACTCGACACGTTCCATGCTTATCGCGCTGATCGATGGATCTGCCGTCAGGATCCTCCCTGTAAATCCGCCCACTTCCAGGATTTCTGCTCAACGAAATTTCCTTTCAGGCTGCTGGTACACAAACGAATGTATAACAAATTCAATGCAAACATTTTTATTTCAAATGAGGATGTACTATAATGATGTACTAAAATGATCTACTAAAATGATGTACTCAGATGATGATTTATTAAGATGATGATATACTGAGATGGTGATGTATGAAGTACTCCTGCATTTTGACCAAGTCTTCCCTCCAAAATTGATTTAGGGTTTGCAAGGTTTATAATGTGGAAGTTTGAACAATTAACAAATTGAGAATTTGACATGTTTTAATTTTGTGAATTTGTTTTGCAACCTCAGTATAACATTGCCAATATGTACTCAGATGATGATGTACTAAGATGATGATATACTGAGATGATGATGTATGAGGTACTTCTGCATTTTGAACAAATCTTCCATTCAAAATTGATTTAGGGTTTACAAGGTTTATAATGTGGAAGTTTGAACATTTAACAAATTGAGAATTTGACTTGTTTTAATTTTGTGAATTTTTTTTGCAACCTCAGTACAACATTGTCAATATGTACTCAGATGATGATGTATTAAGATGATTATATATTGAGATGATGATATATGAGGTACTTCTACATTTTGAGCAAATCTTTATCCTAAAAGTGATTTAGGGTTTACAAGGTTTATAATGTGGAAGTTTGAACATTTAACAAATTGAGAATTTTACATGCTTTAATTTTGTGAATTTTTTTTTGCAACCTCAGTATAACATTGTCAATATGTACTCAGATGATGATGTATTAAGATGATTATATACTGAGATGATGATGTATGAGGTACTCCTGCATTTTAAACAAGTCTTCCCTCCAAAATTGATTTAGGGTTTGCAAGGTTTATAATGTGGAAGTTTGAACAATTAACAAATTGAGAATTTGACATGTTTTAATTTTGTGAATTTGTTTTGCAACCTCAGTATAACATTGCCAATATGTACTCAGATGATGATGTATTAAGATGATTATATACTGAGATGATGATGTATGAGGTACTTCTGCATTTTGACCAAGTCTTCCCTCCAAAAGTGATTTAGGGTTTGCAAGGTTTATAATATGGAAGTTTGAACATTTAACAAATTGAGAATTTTACATGTTTTAATTTTGTGAATTTTTTTTGCAACCTCAGTATAACATTGCCAATATGCACTCAGATGATGATGTATTAAGATGATTATATACTGAGATGATGATGTATGAGGTACTTCTGCATTTTGACCAAGTCTTCCCTCCAAAAGTGATTTAGGGTTTGCAAGGTTTATAATATGGAAGTTTGAACATTTAACAAATTGAGAATTTTACATGTTTTAATTTTGTGAATTTTTTTTGGCAACCTCAGTACAACATTGTCAATATGATCAATAAATCCCAACATCCCTAAAGTGCTAATATAACATCAGTCACCTGCATGTTCCCTTAAAGTACTACAAAGTTATATAAAAATAGAAAAGCTTAACTAATTACAAGTTTCATTAAAGAGTACCTAAAGTCACAATTAACCACACGCTACATAAATACCTGTCCCCATATAATCTACCCCAATTGTGTCATCGTACCTCCTCGTCCAAATGCACCCTACGTAATCACTCAGTGATTGTTCAATCAATCAGTAGATAGGTCCATCATTTAGTAGATAGTTACTCGGTTTGAGGTTATGTAACGTCATACACCAACACCACAATCATAAATCTAAATACGTTTACTTTGCAATGTAGACAAAATCTCAAAAACCTTCACTCTCCCATGATGACCCACCATCTACCAGCATCTACCATCCACAAAATGGCGTACCTACGTAAACATACGTTATACCTACGTACATGCGTTATATCTACGTACTCACGCGTGTTACGCTTACGTACACACGTGCCAATAATAAAATAATAAAGTAGGGGCCTAAGTGTACGTCACTGGGCCGGCTCACACCTGTTGCCCTGGATAGAGCACGCGGGTGATACGCCACTGGCCGTAAACTGTTGGCACGGCTCACCTGTTGGCCTCAGCAGTGCTTGTCTGGTTTCTTGAGCGTGCGGTTCCTTTTGCTCGCCACTCTCGCAGTCCGTTGATACCCGGTCGTTTTCAGTGTCTTTGCATTCCTCGAATTCGTAGGAACCCTAAGGGGTTCAATGAGGCAGGACCCTCGACGACGCCCACGGAAATCGAAGGACGATTTTCCACGGATTCCTCGGCGTTTTATCAGCGTTAGGGCCGGATTGTATGCAAATACTCGAGGAAATATCCGTGAGTTTGTATCTGACTTCGTCCGACCCCGCCTCGGCTATCGTATCGTTATTTACGTTGGTGACTAACGTTCCCGTGGAAGAGGTCCACTCCAGGCGATCGTGCATACCGCACGATCATTTTGCACACAGGTATACCATGCTTTCCTTTTAGTCGTCCTTTCGAATAAATCTCTTTTGTCCTTGCTCGAGTCTTGAGGAGACTTTGTGGAATGGATGAGGTTTTAACAATTGTGCGGACCACAAATTTATTGCCAGTGTATGCAGTTTTAAGCTCGTGCATTGTAATGTAGGATGTACTTATGTTATACTTGAACAGTAGTCTCTAATGATGCTTACACTTATGTGGACACGATGACGTTGAGAACCTTGAAATATTGGCAATATACAGGGTGGGACTCCAGTGACTCCATGAAGACTCAAGTAAAAAGTGTGCAATTTTTTCAGTATGAAACTGTGATAAATTTTTAAGATTTCTCAAATGTATATGTTGAGAACCTTGAAATATTAACGATATATATAGGGTGTCTTTTATCTCTGTATGACACGTATGAGATGTGAATGGACTGTCAATGCAAAGGTTTGTCCATCAAGTTTATTTATTTATTCAAAAATTATTTATTCGTACTAAACTCTCGTATCAGCTATAATTTAAGAATATCATTTCTCAACGTTCTTGAGCAAAAAATAATCTAAAAGACAGTCTTAACACATGCAAATACCACTTCGAGTAATATTACGCGGAACGTATTAAATATTCAAATGATTATATCACTCAGACCAAAAGAATCGTTTAAAATGTGAGGTACAATAGGAAAGAATTAATAAAATATTTCGTGCGTCATGTGATCACGTAATTAATTTTGAAATGCAAGAATAATAATATAAGTCACATGTGAACAATAATAATGATATCGATCATATGACTCTTCTTGTCAGACGCGTGCACTGAATACTTAAGCTGTGGATACTAATTATCCACATTGAATACTAATTATGAAAATTAGTCATGTCTTTCGGACGATTACTATTCGCTAATTTTGGAACGTTATCAAATTATGAAAGGTTTTGGTGACAATTGTGAAAGAGAAGGCTATCTTACTTTCGATATCAACATGAAATGGAGCACTGTGGTTCGACCTTGGATTCTTCGATCAAACACAAATATTTTCGAATTCGGGTTTCGTAGAAAATTACTTCTGTGAAGATACAGAAATTCTGTGAAGGTATTTCTAGGTTAATTATATATTTTCAGATTGGAAATGTTGGTTGCTTGAAGGTTTAATTATTACAACACTTGAAATTATTATTTAAATTGTTGATGGTATTTGAATTAAGATTCTTATTTAAACTTGATATTGCTACTTAAATTTAATAAAAAGTTGTTACATATTTTGCGAGAATTGTTATTTAATTTCTGCTTGAGCAAGATAAAAATACTGATAAAATAATGTTGTATCATTTTGTGAACTTTAATCTAATCCAAAAAAAGACGTGAGATTAAACACTGTACTATGACTCACACATGGCAGATAAACCAAAAATCTGTCACTGTTATTTTTATAATTCACTAAAAAATATAAGTTTGAAATTGTTAAATGATCAGTCAAAAATGAAATATTTCACAGAATAAATTAGTATACGATAGAAAATTAGATAATATTAGGTTAACGTCTTAATTACACCCCTATTATATCTTAAGATCATAATAGCAATAAAAATAGAATAATATCGTGTCGATTGCAATTGTGATACTCGTACGAGAAAGCCAATTAATATTTTCTATAAACCAATACAAACATTGTGAAACAGTGGACGATATACAACGTGAGCCACTTTGTAATCAGCCATTTTGCATAATCTTCCGATTAACGTTGTTAGAAACTTGTATTATCTTAACTGGTTTGGATTACGATAATTTTACCGTCTGTTCAGATTAATACTTCCAGTTACATGTCTATCAGTTCCTCTTTCGCTAACCCGCGCTTAATTAGTTCTGGTTTTATTGCTTGTTTTCAAATTTTACATCCATTCGTGTAATTTCTTAACATTTTATATCATAAACAATTTAAATATATAAATGTTGATAATATAGGAATAGTAACAGACAAAGTAACATATTGTGTTGTACAATTTATATTGTATAATATTTATTGCAAGTTAAAAGAGTACAAGTGTGATGCGCTTAAGCGCACATTCAAATTTTCGCGCGTAAATTGTTACGTTTTGGCGCGAAGAGTACTTAACCTCGCAAGAAAGGTATCTTAACTTCTAAACTTTAATTTGGACAATTTTTTAGAAGACAATCTTAAGCAACTTTTTAAGGAATAATTACATTAATAATTTTAGTAATAATTTATTATAAAACATGTATAAATTTACTCTGTCACTAATATTAAAACACGTGTAACAATTTAGTATTCTTTTCATTGTGAACAGTGATATTAATCTTTGTAATATTAACCTAAAAAATTGTCTAAAAAGTACCTAATCGATGTCACTCCTTTTTAATTTGAATTACAATTAAATTTGAATTTTTGCAAAATTTTAAAATGACAAAAATTAAAAAATTAATGGAATTGTGTAGATTAGTCTTGTCGTAATTATTATTGCGAAACAGTGCTTTTGTTCACACTCTACATGTTACAATTACATGAAACACGATAAGACGATATCGATATCTGTATGAAAGGACAGTGACATGACCGATTTTTTTCTTTTCCGTGTGCTTGCCGCAATAGGATACGATTGACAGAAAGCACAACGTGTATTACGCGATTTCCTTACAGCTGCATGTTTACTTCTGTAAAATTTATTTCACCAACGAGGACGGTGAAAGCAATTCCCACAGTTTCGAACCGATTTAGCATATTCAACTTTTCCTTAACCATCCATTGGGCACGGAATAAAAACATGCATTGATGCATCACGAAATTATCAAAATGGAAGTTAGGTGTGAGAGCTTCCATTTTTTGAATTTTCGAATTTTTGAATTTTCAAATTTTCGAATTTTCGAATTTTTGAATTTTCAAGTTTTCAAGTTTTCAAATTTTCAAGTTTCCAAGTTTCCAAGTTTCCAAATTTCCAAATTTCCAAATTTCCAAATTTCCAAATTTCCAAATTCTCAAATCTCCAAATTCTAAAATCCCCAAATTCTCAAATCCCCAAATTCTCAAATTCCCAAATTCTCAAGTCCCCAAATTCTAAAATCCCCAAATTCTCAAACCTCCAAATTCTCAAGTCCCCAAATTCTAAAATCCCCAAATTCTCAAATCCCCAAATTCTCAAACCCCCAAATTCTAAAATCCCCAAATTCTAAAATCCCCAAATTCTCAAAAACCCAAATTCTCAAATCCCCAAATTTTAAAATCCCCAAATTCTGAAATCCTCAAATCCCCAAATTCCAAAATTCCCAAATCCCCAGCTACAATGAACTGAGAAGACATTAACAGAGCTCTCCATATATGGCCATTTAGCACAAAACGAAGTGAAGATTTCAAACGAACCGCTTTGCCAATTACGAAGCTCGCTTCTGACAATGAGCCAACGGCATGTCGAGTTTCTCACGACATTCAGCACCGTAATTTCTCTCGCCATTGTCTAACTATGTACTTCGGATCGTGACACGTAAACACAGCAACAAAGATCCCGGGAAGAAAAACGGAACTTAACGGTGCTGATGAAAAAAAAAATTCGGTGTCTTCACTTTGCCAACAGGAACATCTCACACTTTCACCTTTAACGAGTTCGATGTAGAATACAATTAAGCCTTCGTAAAAATTCGGGTGATTTATCGTATTGCAATTGGTAATACGGTATACTCGCGTTATATAGCCATTTGTGGTGTACGGTTCGCACAGTAGTCGACATAAGTCTTATCGTCTTACAATTTATTTACTCGCGTTATATGGTCATGTGGAGATTAAGGTTCAAGCAGTAGACTCATTGTCACGCAGTTTGTTACCTCGCGTTATATCGCCATTTGTAGTTTATCGTAGATGCATTAGACCCATCGTCACACAAGTTAGACTCTCGTGTTATATGACCACGTGGAGATTAAAGTTCAAGCAGTAGACGCATTGTCACACAGTTTGTTACCTCGCGTTATATCGCCATGTGTAGTTTATTGTACATGTATGAGACCCATCGTCACACAAGTTAGACTCCCGTATTATATAGCCATGTGGAGATTACTATTCAAGCAGTAGACTCATTGTCACACAGTTTGTTACCTCGCATTATATCGCCATTTGTAGTTTATCGTACATATATGAGACCCATCGTCACACAAGTTAGACTCTCGTGTTATATGGCCACGTGGAGATTACTGTTCACTCATTAGACTCATTGTCACGCAGTTTGTTACCTCGCGTTATATCGCCATTTGTAGTTTATCGTACATGTATGAGATCCATCGTCACACAAGTTAGACTCTCGTGATATATAGCAACGTCAGAAGTTAAAATTGACAACAGTAAACATCGCTACAATTACAAGGCAGATATTGTTATCTCGAAAAGTGGAATATCAAAGATGGCGACACGTTCTCGCGGGAACGTTATTTGCTCGCGATAAGTGTCAAGGTTGCCGGAATAATGAACTACAAGGCAGTCATTCAAGGTATTTACGTGTTCGAAATCGTGTGAAAAGGCGTCACAGCTTCAAGGTGATGTAAAAAAAGATACACGAGGAAGAAGAGGCAGGAAATTGTCTGTACAGGACGTTTACGGTTTAATGCTTTCAATACGTAATAGCTTGGAATTGCAAATGAAGTTTTTAGATACCTGCAACGCTTCGACATCGATGATATATTGTGATAAATTACTAATTGCGAAACTGTAAATACGGAGAAATATGAAACATTAATTAGTTAGGGATAAAACAGTAAAATTCCATAGATTTTTAGCGTCGATTTCTTAAGGTTACGAGTTCGATCCCGGTATCGAGCAAACTATGGTTTCCGCCTATTTGAAGTGGGTAATATCACTCGCTTGGGTTTGAAGCTGTTAACACCCTAAAAAATCTACTTCCACAAATTCTATCATACTAATCTATGATTAGATCTCTCTGTCACTATATTTTCTAATAACTATCACAATTTAAACAATTTTTGAAACTTGTCATGATTTTAT